CACACACACACACACACACACACACACACACACACACACACACACACACACACACGGTTTTTCTGTGTAGCCCTGGCTGCCTTGGAACTCAGAGACTCAACCTGCCTCTGCCTCCTGTGTGCTGGGATTAAAGGTGTGTGTCATCACCGCCCAGCTAATAATGGACTCTTATGGGGATATGTAAACCAAATGATAAACCCTTTCCATCCTAAGTTGCTTTCAAAAGTGAACCAAGACCCTCCCACGTGCCGGGATACAGGTTTGTACTGTCCCGTCTAGCTCACAGTTTTGAATTTATTTGAAAGCCACCTCTGCCCCAGCATTTGTCTCTCACTTCTTTGCTATGTTACACTGGTTTATAAGAGATGTGCAGGGCCCCTTATCGCACCTCTCTCATATCCCAGTGCTTCAGGGTCTAGAGCAGTGGTCCTCAACCTTTCTAGTGCTCCGGCCCTTTAATACAGTTCCTCAATTGTGGTGACCCCAACCATAAAATTATCATTGCTACTTCATAACTGTAATTTTGCTACTGTTAGGAATCATAATGTAAATATCGGACATGCAGGATAAGAACAGCTGTTCTAGAGTGTCTCCATGTATCCCAGGACACTCGCAGTGCGCCAGGGCTGAGGGGCTCTCGAGTGCTTGGCACAGTAGGGACCGGAGATCCCACAGCTCTTTTGCTGACTCGCCAAGCTGCTGCGTACTCTCTCACTGTCTGTTAATAAGGATGGAATGAGAAGGACTCCAGAGGTTAGGAACACGCGCAGGTAAACATGGGAAAGTCACATAAGGGGCAGAGGAGAGGGTCTCTGCAAAACAGGATTCACTGGTTCCTAAGGATTCTGGACTGATGTGAACAGTTTGTACTCCCTCACTAGGTAGGACTGGGGAAATTCCCACAGCCATAGCTGGTCCCTGTGGCTCGTGACTAGGAGCAGCCTACAGTTGGGGTGGTCAGAGGTAACCATAGACTTGATGGGTGGGGAGAGACTTGTCACAAGGTAGGTGCCAGAAGGCCGAGATAGATGTCCAGTTCTTTCCACCAGACAGAGGTCTTGTTTTTCCTGAGAATGTGGCAGTAGACCCTGGCTCTGCACCTCCCTGTGGGTGCACTCCAAGTTAGAAAAGCTGATGCACCCTGCTCCTTTGCCCTCCACTGCCCTCCTCCAGCCGGTGGCGTGGTTGGGAAGGCCAGGTGCCCAAGCCCAAGGGCCAGAAGATATTCAGCCACTCTTTACCGGGGCGAACAAATCCCCGAGGATCCGAGAGACCTGGTGGTGCTGTGGTTAGTGGTGCAGTGTGGTACTTTCAGCTTTCCACCTAGAGTGGCTGCTTAGACTGGGCATGGTTTCTAGGTTGGGTTAAGGGGCGAGTGGTGATAGGTGTGGGAGAGCAAGGTAGACAATTCCTGTGAGCCGTGAAGCCATGCTGGAGGGCAAGAAGCAAGCGAGCACCTGGTTCTTCATTCTACTTCGCTGAGAGACTTAACCGGACACGAGGCAGCTAGCAAGGAATTCTCTCTCCCTTTCCCTGATAGTTATTATCTCTGAATTTGGGCCTTATTCTCTAGCCAAACTGGCCTGGAAATCACAGCAGGCCTCCTGCCTCAGCGCCTCCCAAATGTGGACTACAGGGTCAACCTCCCTGCCCAGTTGTAATTCTCTACTCAGGGAAAAACTGTAAATGCTGCCACCTGTTGACCAAATGTCCACATGCATCCCATCCACTTTCAGCCACCCTGCCCAGGTGATGTGTCTGCGTCCTGGGCACTTCAGAAATAAGCCCTACACAGGTCTCATAGGCTCTGTCAGCAACCCAGTTTAGTGGGGTAAGTCCCACACTGGGTTGGCAGTCTCTCTGGGATTACCGTTGTGAGTAGTAGGCTGTTCAGTCAGATTAATATTTTCTGTCTGTCTTTCCATCCACTTTCCCCTTCCTCCTTCCCCCAGTCTCCCCCATCGCCCCTCTCTTGGCTTGCATGTGTATGCACCTGCAAATGCAAGTTGTGGGTTTTGAATCCAGAGTCTTACAGCCTCGCTCTTACTGAGCTGCTCTCCACGTCCCCAGAAATGGTTACTCTTAAATATGTCTCTCCCCCCCCACCGTCTCTGTCTCTCTCTCTTGATAGGGTTTCTCTGTGTAACAGTCCTGATTGTTCTGGAACTCAGAGATCCGCCTGCCTCTTGCCTTCCAAGTGCTGGGATTAAAGGCGTGCGCCACTACCACCTGGCTGGTAAATGGACTTTCCTCTTCAAAGATTTTCATGGATCATATTTTAATAGGAATTTATGTAGGGGGTACTTTTCACAAACAATGTCCTAACAATTCAGTCATTGTTCCAGGAACTTGAGTCTCATTCGGTTGCAAGGGTGAATCTCTAGAAGGGAGTATGTAGTATGAATCTTAAAAGGTCATATTAATAAAAACAAACCTGGAGCCAGGTATTGGGGTCAATGCTGGAAGATCAGAGAAGCAGAACAAGCCACAGCCAATTCCTCAGCTGATCCTGTTTCCTCATCCAGAATGAATCTCAGCTGAACTGCTGCTCAAAGCCTAAAAGCTTAACCAGCCTAGTTCCTGGTTTTCACACCTATTTACCTTTCTGCCACCACTCCTGGGATTAAAGGCAAGAGTCACCATGCCTGGCTGTTTTCAGTGTGGCTTTGAACTCAGAGATCCAGGCAGATCTCTGCCTCTGGAATGCTAGGATTAAAGGCATGTACTACCACTGCCTAACCTCCATGTTTAATATTGTGGCTGTTCTGTTCTCTGACCCCAGATAAGTATATTAGGTTGCACAATATTTTGGGGAACACTATCACCACAGGAGCATGGATCAATAGATATTAAATACTAACTATATAGATCAGAGAAGCAGAATGCATACATGTCTTTAATCTCCTTCCCTTGTCTATATGAATAGCTCATCGTAGATGTTCTTGATGGACAGGTCTTCACACTGTCGTCGCGTTCATTTCACACATAACAATGTGCCACCAGTGGTTAAAGAGCCAGGTTCACCATACTTTGCCTCGCTGTGTTCTTGGCAGCCTAGGATGTTAGAATTACATCTGCATGACTCAGTGTGCTCAGACCAGCTTGAGACAGTGATGCAGACCGGATCGAAGGATACACCACCTACCACCCTCGGAATCTACATTCTTCTAGGCCTGAACCCTAAAGCTGAGGCTAAGAATCGTATTATGAAAATCTTGATGTTTCCAGGGCCTTTGTTCTAGGATACCACACCTGTTCTGATGAGGCTGTCCAAGTCCTGCTACTTCTAGCGGCTGTTGTTTATGTAATGCTTGGACAGGAACTAAAAGGCAGGCTGTCTAGACCTCCCTGTCCGATAAGTCTCCTCATACCTTATTGTGGGGGAGGGGAGACAGCAACACCAGCAGTGCCCATGAGCCCAGATTTATATTTTGTTACTTTTCCACATTTAGAAAAGTAGACAGATCTGTAATTTTTGTAGCAACCAAATCGTTTTTCCAAGGACTAGTTACTTTTGAATCAGGTTTAACTAAAGATAGTCTCCCTTCAAAGCTCACCTCTCTCGTCCCTGGTGTTGGGGTTAGAGGTGTGTTCCATCACATTCAGTCAGGCTTAGGTATTTTAGGTAAACAAGAATTTTTTTCTTATTGAGGCAGGGTCTCACTTATTTCCCAAGCTGACCTGGAACTCACAACTCTTGGTATATCCTCCCAAATACTGGAATCATGAGTGTTTGCTGTCATTTTTCCCGTCACATTTCAAGTGTGCCATATGGAATTGTTAGGTTACGGGATACAGACCATGCAGCTGCATATCTGGGTAAAGGCACCTATTGGTTCAGGATTTCAAGGCTATACCTGCAGTTACTTGTGGTAACCTGAGAACAAATAACAGACTGTAAGCTAAAAGGCCCCAGATAGAAGGCCTGCACTCTCCTGCAGAAGAGGAAATGAAAAAAGTACAGCCTGCCCAACAGCACATGGCGGTGGTTAAGGCAGAGCCCAGGCTGGGCTAGTGCAGTCTGCTTTCAGTCATGTGAGTCCTAGATCAAGCATGTAACCTGAGCCATAAAAGAGCATTCAGAGGTAGTTACAGACTCTTCGTTTTCTCCTTTTGGATTATGTAGACTTTCTTATTCCCCATGCTCAGTGGACAATGTCTTGCAGTTGATTTTTTGTTTGTTTGTTTGTTTGTTTGTTTGTTTGTTTGTTTGTTTCGGCCTCTAGGGTTCCCGAGGACATTAGTACAGGCAGAAGCCTTGGACAGAATCTGCGATGTGGACCTTGTGGTCAGTTTGAATATTCCTTTTGAGACACTTAAGGATCGTCTGAGCCGACGATGGGTCCACCCTTCTAGTGGGAGAGTCTATAACCTGGACTTCAACCCGCCTCAGGTGCAGGTAAGCCATACTGAGTGCTGGGCAGGGGATGTGAGTATACTGTTCAGGGAAAAAAAAAATATCTACACAGTCAAGAAGCATAGAAAGAGTTGAAATTCAGTAGTAGTCAAAGGGGAGATCTGAGACTGAGGCTTAACAAGACGGAGCCCTGCTGGAGACCGGAGGAAAGCTGCGTTCTCCTTTTTGTTTCATGAATTTCATTTAACTATTGGTGGCTCCTTATTTTCGTTTTTTGAGACAGAGCTTCTGTCCTGGAACTCATTCTATAGACCAGGCTGGTCTGGAACTTAGAGATCTGCCTGCCTCTGCCTCCTGAGTGCTGGGATTAAAGGTGTGCGCCACCACACCCTGCTATTCATGGTCATTGACTGATTGATTGAGATAGGGCCTCTTTTATGTAGTTCTGGCTGTCCTGGATCTCACTATGTAGACTAGGCTGGTCTCGAACTCAGAGTACTGAGGCTATCCTTAGAACCATGTGGCAAGGTACATTTGTGAGGATAGCCTGAGCAAGTGAAAAAGCTGTGCATATTTCATTGCTTATACTGGCCAAAAAGGACTGTTTAAATACACTGGACAACATCTGCATGATCTTAGGTTACAGAATTGGTAAAAAGAATGAATATGGTGGTTTCTCTGCCCTCCAGTGTTGGGGATCAGAACCCCTGAGGCTTGTGTACACTTATCAAGTATCCTACCACAGAGGTACACCTCTTTCCAGATTAACCACCCCCTTAGCCCAATAGGTAGCCCAGGCTGCCTCCATCTCAGAGTTCTCTAGCCTTCCTTGGTCTTCCAACTGCCTGAGGGATTATGGGTGTGCACACCATGCCTGGTTCAGACTACTTGGATTTGTCTTTCTGTTCATTTTTTCCCTCTGACTCCCTGATAATGGCTGATGGAACTCATATAGAACTCAGTGTGTCCTTTCTGGACTGGAATAGGTAGCGTGGTATCTGAATATAGATGGAAGCAGTCAAAAGTTACTTTAGGGTGGTATCACTACTGCTGGTTGCCATTGTGCCAACATTGCTCTTAATGATGCCAGTTCACTTGTGATAAGCATCAGCCCCCCCCTCCCCGTTTTCTTGTTGTTATTTCCCCGTCCTAGCTAATTGCTTTGCTCCTCCCGTCATTTATTTCATAGACCCAGTTTCATTGTGTTGCCCAGACTGGTCCTAGCCTTCTGAGTGGCTGGGTGGACAGTGTACCGCTGAAGTGTAACCCAAGATAGGGTGATGGGGAAAAAAAAATGGGAGAGAAGAAAGGAGTTTGAAAACAGACAGGAAAACAGAAGCCTATCTCAAAGGCCCCTGTTCTGGCCCTATTAAGACGTGCTCATCAATTCTTACAGTATCTGGAAAGCTTTACTTGCTAGTGTGTTCCTTTCAAAAGCCCAACTCTCCCTGAAAGAACCCCTCATGAGAATGTATGCCGTTTCCAGAGACGGCTGTGGAGCGAATAGCCAGCTCCACCAGCCACTGGTGTCTTCCCCAGGATCGAGTACTGCCCGGGAGTCCTTCTGTTACTTCTAGAAGCATCAGCTGTGTTTGCTGGTACTCTACAATGAGTTCTAAGCATGGCGGCCATCAGTAAAACATAGATCAGTCATGGCCTCTCCTCTTCTGCCGTGCTGACATTCCCCTGTGATAACGACGTGCATTATCGTGCATCATCAATGTAAGACCCGAAGCCCCCAGGTGCAGCAGGATATCACTGTGTTTTAAAGTCATGGGCAGCTTCTTTGGTCCACGTGAGTGGCCTGAGCCTTGTGGTTCCTCCCCAGCCTGTCTCTGACAGGCTCACTTCTGCAGCTTCCCCCAGAGAGAACAGCCGGGGGCTTGGGAGCAGAATTCTAATGCTCCTGCAGTGCCGTGTGTAGGTAGCTATAATTCACAGATTCAGAGTACCAAAAAGGAAGTTTGTTTGGACCCCTGGCTGGTATGGAACTAACTATGTAGATCAGGTTGGCCTTAAACTCATAGATCCACCTGCCTTTGCTGGCAGTAAAGGCATGTGCAACCACAGCCACTGAAATTTTTATATATTTAAATTCATAATTTCTTAGAGTGCTTGTCTCTGATGGTCCTGGGTATTCGAGTCACGCCTATTTTGATATACCTTAGGACATGTCATGAGTTTCAGAGAGTACTCCATAGTAGTTTGAAAGCTGGCAGAGACGGTATGGAACCAATCTCCCCCCACCACCACCACCACCACGTTTTTGCCCTTTTATTACAGGTATATTTGTTTGCATCCATACACAAATGGATGTGTACTTGTTTGGGTACCATGGCACAAGTGTGGAGGACTAAGGTCATTTTGCAGGAGTCTCCTTCTTCTTTGTGGTTCCAGGGTCATCAGGCTTGGCCGCCAGGGCCTTCACCTGGGAGCCACCTTGCTAGCTCCCCAGTTTTTTTCCCCATAAGAAGCCAGAATTTAGAAAACAAAGCTGGGACCAGCATGGCATTGTGTAGATATGTTGTTTAGGGAGGATTCCCAGGATTTAGAGTTGAAATGCCATTTAGCGGTAGCACTGAGGGGTGTTTATAAGGATGTGAATAGTTAGGGAAGATTTAGCACCCTTCTCGGGATGTGAGGTCAGCATGACAAACCCCAGGCATGTTGCACATTTGGTTGGAGTTCACTTTGATCATGTGGGTTTTTAAGAAGAAAGTTCTGACCTCGGAAATGCCCGGTGATTGGCCATGTTAACTGGCTCCTCTGTTGTTTTAGGGGGTTGATGACGTTACGGGTGAGCCACTTGTCCAACAGGAAGACGACAAACCTGAAGCAGTTGCTGCCAGGCTACGGCGATACAAGGATGCGGCGAAACCAGTCATCGAACTGTACAAGTGAGTGGGTGTCTAGTGTATTCACGGTCGGGTCCAACCAGGACATTGGAGGGCCTGATGGGAGGAACGCTGGGCTGAGCTAGATAATGAATGCTTCTTCCAGCTAACTATGTCTGAAGGCCCACACCTCCCAGACGGTGGGTGGAGTGATAGAGTGATGTTATAGATGAATTGCTAAGTGGTCTTATTAAATAAAAACCTGGAGCCAGATATAGGAGTGAAAACCTGAGAGATCAGGGAAATAGGACAAGCCACAAGCTAACCTCACCTCACCGAGACACCTCAGTCTCCAAAGAGAGACCTACTTCATGTATACCCATGCCTATATCATTCTGTTCTCTCATTGGCTCTCTCAGCCCAGCTTCATCACTTCCTTTTCTTGCCCAGTTCTGTCACTTCCTGTCTGTACAGACCTCTATGGTTAGGGCTGGGATCAAAGGTGTGTGTCACCACACTTGGCTCTGTTCCCTAGTGTGGCCTGGAACTCACAGAGATGAGCCTTGAACTACACCCTGCCTCCCAAGTGATAGGATTAAAGACAGGTGCTAACATTGCCTGACTTCCATGTTTACTTATAGTGGCTGGCTTTTTCCTCTTATTCTCAGATAAATTTTATTGGGGGACACAATACATCACCACAAGTGGTATATGGGAGGTACAGTCTGTTTAATCAGGAACTATTAGAACATGAAGAAGTGTTCTATCTCTGAGCTCCACCCCTGCCCCCAGCCCTCATTATCTTATTTAATTGCCTCAGATATTTTGACATTCTATCATGTAAGTAAGTGATTCAGGTAGACTAGGGCTGGCTGTAAAACTATGAACAGACCAGGGAATGGTTAGAACCTTGGATCTTTGTCTGTCCTGTGATGTTAAGCAACCTCAGTGATGTTTATTGGGTTGTCTTTCAGGAGCCGTGGAGTGCTCCACCAGTTTTCTGGGACGGAGACTAACAAAATATGGCCTTATGTTTACACGCTTTTCTCAAACAAGATCGCACCTATTCGATCCAAAGAAGCATACTGAGCCTGCCATCGGAAGAACCAAGAAGACATGGTCGTTCACTCAATCATGCGTGTAGTCCTGGTGCCCTGGCCAAATTAGGAGCTGGCTGAGATAGCGTGCAGCATCTTTTCTAGTTTAAGTGATGAAGTCATGAGGCAAATCTAGTGGGTAGAAAGAATTCATGGAGAAGGAACCCTCCCGCCTTTGAAAAGAAGGTGTAGCTCTGCAGGTGCATCCCGCCCTTCACGGGAAAGTGAGTACAGTCTGGATTTCCACCAGTGTTGAGCCCACACTAGATGGCTGACAGCCACGTGCTGCTCTCATAGCCTCTGCATGCGATGGTGCAGGAATCTCTGGTTCCTGCCACCTTCCACAGGCTGTTGAACCACAGCACTGTCAGCCTGAGAACTTGAAGAAGGACTGTGGTCCCAGCTTGTCCTCTGCCATCATACCCTCGTGATGACAATTGAATAGATGCTGACTGCGCTCAGTGACTGATTCTCCACAGTGACTGTTTCTCCCTCCAATCTTAGACACCCTCGTTTCTGCTGACTGTGTCTTCTCTCGTCTGCTTGCTCCCTCCTCCATAGGCGATTCAGTAACAGGATAGTTTCTGCCTTTATCCCTCTAACTTCCTCTTTCTACAAACAGAACCAGGGGACTGGATTCAGTCCCTTCATCCTGGGATCTGAGCCAGGCAGAAAGCTTACTTGGTTAAACAGCTTCTCTGACTGTCTTGAACCTACTCTGTACCTTTTATTGTTTAAAAAAAAAAAAATTTCCCAAAGTCTTTGGGGAATTCTCAAAAACAAGGGAAATGCTCACTTAAGGAAATGTGGGATAATCATATCTTCTGCATAGATGTAGTAATCGTATAGAAATCACTGGACTAATGAGATGGTTTAGGCTTCTTTAGTCAAGGCAAGATGAATATTGAACATGCTGCTAAATATTAATGCTGACAGTGTGTTTCTTCTGTGAGTGATCCAAGCAGATGGTAAGAAGTCAGCAAAGGGAACAAGCCTGTGGGCTTGGAGCGTCTTGCACTAGATGTACGTTGCGCCTGCACTGAGAAAGACAGCTTTACCATTATGGGAACGCAGAGTCTTTTTGTTTTCTTCCGATTCCAAAGATGCAGTCTATAGGTGGCCGTAAAGTCCAGAAATGAAGATGCTAATATTTTGTCAATCATCATGTCAATAAAGCATTTGTTAAAAGACTTCCCCGGTTTCCAGACTTGTTGGCCACCTTGTATATAATTCTTACTCTTCTTTTGGGAAGAATGAGGAAATTTCTTCCCGCTGCCTTAAAAAGGTGTCCTGCACCCGCCTGTCCCCAGGGAGCATCCTTTATTACTGGTGATGTAGTGTGACATCTAGTCTGTGTGGGGGCCGGGTGTGGTGCGGACTTAGCACTTTAGTGGTATTGAAACATTACATTCTGAAGGCGTCCTGTGAATCCGCAGTCCAGTCACTGCCGTCCGCATATTCTGTGTGCTCGTGAGCGTCTTCCTCGCTGTACCGCCTGGACTCCTGTGGTCCTTCTCAGTTGTCCTGCCATGTGCACGTTCTTTGTCTGCCTTAGTGGCAATGCAGACCAGCATCCCTCATGCTCTCCACACAGAGAAGTCGGGTTGTTAACTAGGTAAGCTTCTGAAGTGCAGGTGCTGCCTGGCCCAGGTCTGTGACCATCCAGACATTGTCACATTGATGCTGGGCACTTTGGAAGCTTGCACTTGGTTGTTGTCACTTGGTAGGGGTCAGGAGAAACATTTTTTTCTTTGCGTTTCAAGCTCAATAGACTATGGTAGCCACCACGGGGACACTAGGGGTCAGGAGTGTCTGTCTTCTGGTGAGACCAGCAAGAAGGGGCAGAAACCCATCTTTTCCAAGGTCTGCTGATTCTCATATCCATTGACCTAAAAAAAACCTGGTTTTCTGTACCAGGCTCGCCTGTTCTTTTGCAGAAAGAGCGTTCATACTGAAACTGTCTTGCAAAGGTGGAGGGAAAGGGGCATCTTCTCCTTCCTATGCCACGCATGCCTTGGCTTCAGTGGGGGTGGCTTCTGAGACTCCAGTCTGACTTGAATCACAGACTCCGCCTGGCTCTTCAGTTTGCTCCCCACAATCAATCCTCTTGCTTAGAGCTTGGTAAACCCTGCATGCTCATTCCTTCAGTATTTTAAACAAAAAGGTGCTATGAAGGAGGCCTTCTGAGTGGACTGTGCACTCGCAGGACCTCTATAAGCATCTTGGCCAATCTTCCCAGCATCCCATGAGGTGGACGCAGACAAGGAGTCCAGGTTATGAAATCTTGCCCAGGGTCTTGATACAAGTAAACAGTGCAGCTATGACTCAGTTCCAGGTTTTCCTGCTTCAGAAACCACAGCCTGGTGAGGTCTGCTTGTGGGCTCAGGAAGGGTGGCAGACATCATTAGAGTGGCTGTGGGAGACTTGCTTTACCCTCTTTGCTTAAGCAAAGGAAGTTGCTAGAAGGGTCCTCTAAATACAAGGCACCGAGGCAGGCTGGATTCAGACCCAGGCGGATTGGCCTCTGTTCCAGGTGTCAGGAAGCCATGAAGCCATATGAAGAAAGCTTGCACCTATTAAACCATGAAAGTCAGCCATAAATGCCGCTCCTTATTTCCGGTGTGGCGCACTGCACAGTTCTTGCCAGAATGAATGCCATCACCTCTGCCTCAGGGCACACCTTGGTTTGAGCATTCAGTATGTAGCTGGGTGTGAAGGGGAGAGGCTGAGCCACTGCCCAGATGGCAAAGGTTCACATGTGACATTCATAGAGTCTAGTGACAGACAACTATAGGAAGTCAACAAAAAGTTCTTGTTTTTAAAATCCTTGAAAGGATCATCACCTCTCTGGGACTGGGGAACAGGGAAGAAAATGGACAACTTGGTCTTTGTGGAAGCTACAAGCAATGTTAGAGCTCCGGGCTCTTTTCTAGTTTTATGAGAGTTTGTACTACTGAATTTTATTTTTGTTTCTGAGATGAATAGATTTCTGGGGGGAAATATGTTGAACTCTGATGGCATTTCACTGTGACCCCCCGAAGTTCAAGGCAGTCTTCTAACCCAGTACCACCTGTCTGTCTTTGGTTCACTGGCCTGTAAAAAATGGCGGCTTAAGTTTCCCAGGAGCCGACAGGCCAGCTTCTCTTCAATGTGATAATTGGTGTTCTTGATTTTGGCATATATGCTTAATTCAGAGTATCTGGGTGTGTTCTGTATATGCTATCCTAACTATTCATTGTATTAATTGATTTTTCTGTTATCTTGCTTGAAGATTGATTTGTATTCGATTTGATAGAAATAAACATTTTTCTGCTTAATATGCCATCAATTCATTTGTGGTTTTTTTTTTTTGTGGCTGTTTATATTGTTTGATGGCTCCATTCACACTAATTTGCAAATGAGGCGAACCGTGAATGTAACCTAAACAACGTAGCGGTCCAGGCAGCTCTCCCAGTTCCGTTGGTTTCCCCGCTGTTGCCTGTCTTGGGGACCCTCGTGTTCTGCTCGCCCTGCCCTTTGCCCGTTAGTTTCCATTTTTACAGAAGCTGGAGCCGGAGCCCTTTGTAAGGTCTGCTGGGGGTTGGGGCCATGAAGAAAGTACCTACTGCTCTTTCAGAAGAACTCTGAGAAAATGGAGGCACAAGCCCTGGCCTTTCCCAGCCCTGGTATGGCCTCCTCCTCTGTGGGGCCTTCGTGCAGCTGAAACCAGCTGGAAGCAAGTTCTAAACTCATTCATGGCCCCAGGAGGGACAGGGAAGGCCATCTGGATAGGATGGCTATGTGGTACGTTGTCATATGCTCCGTTTGTGGAGGAGGAGGTCACATCCCTGCTCCTTGGGCTTCCTCGTACATGGACATTTGCCATGCTGAAGTCACTGAAATGAGGGTAGCCAGATTGTGCCACTTCAGAGCTGATGATGGAAGAGTCAGAAATCCTTCTAGTGAGGTGAGCAATGACATGGATTCCTCAAGGGAAAACTTAGAGCAGAGATACACCCACCCGGTCCATAGTGGACAAGTAGCAGCTAAAAATAACTGGTTTTTTGAAAGCTAAAGAGACTTTATTTGTTGCATTGCACTGATATGTAGCTAGAGTTTTCCTGCCTGGTCCACAGTCAGGACAAATCTCTGTCACCCGCCAGTCCCACAGCCACTCAGACCCAACCAAGTAAACACAGAGACTTATATTGCTTACAAACTGTATGGCCATGGGAGGCTTCTTGCTAACTAATCTTATATCTTAAATTAATCCATTTCTAGAAATCTATACCTTGCCACGTGGCTCATGGCTTACCGGCATCTTCACATGCTGCTTATTCTGGCGGCGGCTGGCAGTGTCTCCCTCTGCCTTCCTGTTCTCTCAATTCTCCTTTCTACTAGTCCCGCCTATACTTCCTGCCTAGCTACTGGCCAATCAGTGTTTTATTTATTGACCAATCAGAACAACACTTGACATACAGACCATCCCACGGCACTGATATCAGAGGACAACTTGTGGGAGTCACTTCTCTCCTACACTGTGGGTCCTAGGGGTCAAACTTGGGCTCTGAGGTTTGATGGCAAACACTTTTGCCTGTTGAAATCTTGCTGGCTCAGGGTTGAGTTTATTACTGTAGGACGACATAACCTAAGTAGACTCAGGGAGCTGAGCCTAGGAGTTCGACTTGTTACTGGTTCTCCTATCAAACTTGATTAGGCTGTAAGGATACAAATGTACATAGATTTTTGCCCCTGACTTCCCCAGTTGTCTGGACAACATGAGTGATTATAACTATGAGAATTAACCCATTCATTGAGCGAACAGTAGTAACTTAGCTAAAGAAACCAAGGGACAATTAGTATTTGAGCTGAGTTTTGCTAGAAAGAACATCTAGGCAGATGCAGTAGGGAGGCAGGGAGGAGGTTTGAGTGCATGGCCGGCAGAGGCCACCTCCTCAGCCTGGGAGACAGATGGGACTGAATGGGAGAGGCCTTGGAGTTTAATGGTGGGAGAGGCTAAGAGTGCCAGAAATTATGTCAAGTCTGCATGGCAGAAAGTCACCCTCCTGCTGATCAACTAGGAAGTGTGTTCAGTTGAAGGGAATGGTTAGTTAGACTAACAGTGGGGGGAAAACACTTGTGGAGGGAAGAGAGGAACAAGATGAGAACATTTGTGTGTGTGTGTGTGTGTGTGTGTGTGCGCGCGCGCGCGCGCACTCCCATTATCCAGGTACTTGGAGGGACCACAATCTCAAGATGGTAAGAAATCAAGTGGCAAGAAACTACACAGTTAGTTCTGTTTCTCTTATATCAGGCTTTTCTCCTGGCCAGGGTTCTGGGGTCAGTCCCTTCAACAAGCTGGGAAAGCTTCACATGGAGAGATCCGTCTCATCTGATCAGGAGCTGCTGTCTCCATCCCACCATCTAAGGCCATGGATCTGGAGAGAACACAATTCCCTGACAAGGAGCCATCAGGAAAAAGAGATGGATGCCAAATCCAGCTCTACGGAGCTCGAGTGGCCACCTCGATCCTCAGAGATTGTCCATATATACCAACAGTCTAGATCATGATTGTAACACCAGTAATTATGCCATTTCAGATGACTCTGGGCATGGTGACAGCAGGACTAACTAACTGATTACCCTGGACACATGAGTCATACGTCCTTTTCACAATATTCCATGAGTGCATAGGAGGAGGAAGGATAAAACTGCTTAGACCTCAGAGAACAATTTTCTCTGTAAACTTCCCCCTTATTTTCCCATTTACTTGTTTTGATCTTTTTACACACACACACACATACACACCATTATGTGCATTGTATGTGGAGCTGGTCTTTTCCTTCCACCGTGTGAGTTTCCAAGGATCAAACTCACTTGGTAGTAATCACCTTTACCCTCTGAGCCATCTCACTGGCCCTCTGTCTTATCTGAAGGGGAAAAAAATCTTTCTTGAGTTGAGTATGAAGTCAATAAATGAAGCCTATTGTGTAATTTCTATATGAAAGTCTTACCTAAAAATTTATTAATACTGGTATTTTCAAGTTTTGGTAAGAAAATGAGGACTCTGAAAACAATAGCTGTTTAATCTGAGTCTTTTAAAAAAAGAAGCCAACAAAAACAGGATAAATAGTATTTAACTACTACATAGCTAAGACACAATACTGCAAATTCCTATTTCATTTGGGTGGGGAATAAATATTTGAAATCAGTACCAGCACTGGAGCCCTCATGAAAACAGGATTTATATGAGAACCTTATGGAAACAGAATTACAATTTAGATGGGGAAAAACCCATGAAAACAAAGGTCCCATGAAATGTAAGACACCAAACTTCCCCTAACATTGCCCCCAAAGGTACTGTTCATTAAAATATGTATTTCAGGGGGGTGGGGTGAAGCTTGCTTTGCAGATGCTTCCATAGCATGTTCAAGGGCCCAGTACCACATAGTTGGATTGGTGGTGTCTGAAGTTAATAAATAGTAACATAAAAAAGAAATGTATTTCAGTGCACCAACAGGAGAGGGTGCTGTTGAGTAAGGCTCTAGCATTGCTGTAGAAACACCTGGTACAGGAAAAATTCAACATCTTGAGAACAAGCAGAAAAAGCATCCACTACAGGATTGTCTTATGGTTCTCTTATTCTATCATGTGGGTGCTTGAAATCAAACTTGGGCTTGGCAGCAAGTGTCTTTACCCCTGAGCCATCTTTCGAACGCTCTACAAAATTATTTTTAAGAGGAAATAAACCAGGAGTATAAATTCTATAGCTTATAAAGAACATTCAAGACCCAACTTCCGAGCAGAGGAAACTGTAGTGCACCACTCCAACTGTGAATACAACAATCAGGAAAGCTACAACAGACAGGGAGAACACCACAAATCAGAAATGCAGTCCTGAGCAGGACACAGCAAAGAAGCTGTAATATGAGTTGATATAGGAACACCAGGTGAGTCAAGGGGCCTAAGAAGTAACTTCCAAGGTATACAAGAGAGTCCAAATTCAGCAGGGCATACAGAGAAGACATGGGCACGGAGAATGAAAAGTCAGGATTAAAACAAAATAATAAAAAGGTGAGTGTTCAGAAAGAAGACAGGTATAGGGGATGGAGAAGACCCAACAAACACCCTTATAATCGAATTCTCCAGAAGAAAACAAAAACATGAATCAAAACCAACATTCAAATTCATAATGCAGTATAGCTTATAAAAACAGGTTTTAAAGCTGGGTGGTGGTGGTACACACCTTAAATCCCAGCGCTCAGGAGGCAGAGGCCGGCAGATCTCTTTTAGTTCAAGGACAGCCTGGTCTACAAATTGAGTTGCAGGACAACCAGTAAGTACTGTTACACAGAGAAATCCTGTTCTGAAAAACAAAACAACAGATTTTAAACAACAGGTTTAAAAACCCTGAACCTATGTGTCGATTTCACTCAGAGTGCTTAGTTTTAAAACATTCTTTGTTGGACTTGTGCAGCCTCGTCGTGGATCAGCATAAAACTACCTGTCCAACAAGTTTCCTCAGGACTCTCACTTGCCAAGGACCAGTGTAGGACAGTGTAGGAATTTGGAAAATTCATGCAGCTTGCAGGTTCTTTTTCTCTCTCATTAGATTGGCGATTCTTCGGGTAGTTTTTAGTTTTACTTTGTCAGTCACACATTCAATAGCTGTAATTTTCCCTGGAAATTCTGCTCTTAAATATTTTCCCCCTAAGATTCAGCAGGGGGTTAATGCTTCTTAAATCTCTTATCTGGAATTACTAACTACAACTCCCAACCCTGGGAACTTTTCTGACTCTATGGAGATAGTCAGGCACATATGAGAAAACAACATACGGGACATTAACCATTTTTTACAGTTCGGGAGAGGAGAGCAGGGCATGCCTGCGCAGACTAGGAAGAAAGCCTGAGGGGCACACATGGTGCCAACTGTTGAGAGGAAGTCCCCTGGATAGACACCAAGCATAGACTCCTTGGTAGGATCTGATATGCTCCTGGAGGAAAAATACAATGCAAGCTATGGGATGGATAGGTCCATCTCTCCCATACACAGGAGCTTATACTGGTGGAAGAAGTATGGGACAGTGAGATGGGGAAAGAGTGCTTTGTCAAAGTCTGCCTTTGACAGAAAGATTGAGACATGGGGCCCTCTTGTGGAAAAGGGAACTGTATAAAGTATATCTTGCAGACATGAAAGAATGACTTGGGGTTGAATATTGTTGTCCTTGAAGCACTGCACCCACGTCTCTTACTTTTGAACTTTGTCACTGCAAGTGCTGCGGGCCGACATGAGTGCTGCGGGAGCAGCATGTGCCTGCCTCGATGTTCAGTTACGCTG